TTCTGATCCGTACTACCACTGACGCTTTCATCTACCACTGGCAGCACTCCCCACAGACTGAGGTCCCACATAGGAATGGTGTGCCCAGAGTCTGGCCCATGAAGGAGACGTAAGGCACCTCCTGTGAGTGAGCCAGAGACCAGAAGAAGCCCAGGAGCAAACAAAACAAACCGCTAGAGCGTAAAAAACATTCTAGCTATCAAAATGTGAACCGCTATCCGCTGATACAGAGGTTTCACAATAACATCCGGTAAGAGCGTGGCTAAAATAGCAGCGAGCAATGCTGTGCACATGTCACTCCTACACAAACATATTCCACACAGTGTGACTTATACTGAGGTCATATATAAGGGAATGACCCAGTAAAAGTCTTTCCCTATTGTTGCATTTACGGTCATAAAAGGTCTCAGAGTAACCCAAAGGGTTTAATTAGCCATAGACGAACTTAGAAATCCCATATTAAGTTATTATTCTAATAATGGTGGAGGTACATATTGCTAGGCAGGTGGATAAAAAGTTTATCCTCATTTTACACTGTCTGGACAGAACTATTCTCACTCTCTTTATTCTATGCCAAGAGTATACAGTCCCACATAGACTGTGTCTCTCACTGAGATGTCAGTATCATCATGGACAGCATTAGTTGGAATATCACAGCGATAGATACCAACTGGTGAGTTTGCATTGTTCCTACGACTTACGTTAACTCTCTGAGAACCACGACTCTCATAGATACCACCATTTCCAGAGAATAGCAGTCTAGTTCCATCAGGGAAATACCAGTCTCCACGATGGATGCCGTGATAAATACTACAACAAGTGGTGACGTCAGTGATACACTGAACACCTTCACCACCACCATCAACATCAGGTCTCCCCACTAGACTGAGGTTCACATAGGAATGGTTGGCCAGAGTCTGGCTTATGAAGGAGACATAAGGAAAGGTCTGGCAGTACACCAGAGACCAGAACAAGCCCAGGAGCAACAGAACAGCTAGAGCCATTCTTGAAGTAAAAAACTAGTCTAGCTATCAAAAAGTAAAGCTCTTTGCTGTTGTATATAGATGTTTACAACAACATTATGTCTAACTTACATCCGGTTAGAGAGTTGCTAAAATAGCAGTGAGCAATGGTCTGTATAATTATACATCCTACACAAACATAATGTATTCCACACAGTACCACTATACACTGTATACTGAGGTCAACATAGGAGTTGACCAAGCAAAAGTCTTTCAAGAATTGACAGTCATAAGAAAGGGTCTCAGAGTAAACCAAGGACTACAATTAGCCATATTTGACTTAGAAATCCCATATTATTTCTACTAATGGTGGTAGGTACATATTTCTAGGCAGGTGGCTAAAAAGCCAATCCTCATTTTACACTGTCATGGACAGATCTACTCTCACTCTCTTTTATTCTGTGCCACTGGTTAACATTAGGACACATTAGTAACATACCTCCACTGGCAGTATACAGTCCCACATAGACTGTGTCTCTCACTGAGATGTCAGTGGCATCATAGACAACAATAGTTGGAATATCACAGCGATAGATACCAATAGTTGGTGAGTTAGCATCCCTGTTACGACGTAAGTCAACTCTCCGAGCTTCACGTTGCTCATAGGTATCACCATCTCTAGAGAAAGGTGGTCTAGTTCCATCAGGGAAATACCAGTCTCCACGATGAGGACCATCATCAGCACTGCAACATGTGGCCAGGTCAGTGATACACTGAACACTGTCACCACCCAATTCAGGTCTCCCCACTTGACTGAGGTCCACATAGGAATGGTTGGCCAGAGTCTGACCCATGAAGGAGACATAGGGAAAGGTCTGGCTGTACACATCTCCCACAGACCAGCAGACTATCATCAGCCATAGGCAGTGAATCACGGCCATGTTTTCTGATTACGCAACGCCAGCAAAAAAATGATTACATATCCCACATAGCTACCATACTTAGAGAGATTGGAATGAAGATTACTCAGCAAAACGAAGAATTGATGATCTATCCTACAAAACAAACATCTTATCCACCCACATGAAGGAGGATGAAAATGGACTAGAAGTCATGGTCAGAAATTATAGTGTACTGTTTAACAAGAAAATATACGAAATTCCGATATTGCAGTTTTAGTGTTTAGTCAAGCACTGCAATGGAGGAACCTCAGTTCCAATTTCACACATCATACTACAGTACAGACTGCTTGCCTACTATTAACACTACAGCAGCATAAGAACATGGAATAACTATGCAACAAAACACTAGTATATATAGCTAGTACTTTCACTACAGTTATGAACTAACTACATATTCTATAAGTTCGCAGAATATACACGACACACTCTAAGAGTATAGTTTCAGCAGCCTCCAAGACGACAGACATCCTCTCCGAGGTTCCTCAGAGCACAGACATTGAGTGTCTGAGTGATCCTCTCTCCCAGTCCCTGGTCATGCCTGGTTCCAGTCTCACGCTCTTCTTCATTGAGACTGGAGATAGAGGTGGGGCAGGACGGACTCACCCTCACCAGCAGACCGTCAAGGACGAGGGAGGGACCCGTGGACACCCAACTCTGAATAATGCCCACCAGGTGGGTGGAGTTTGTGGTGGGGAAAGGGTTAACCAGAGTTGTGCGGTAGTTTGCCTTAGTGGGGTTGCCATGGCAAAGAAACAATCCTGGTCTCAGAAACGTACGTGTTAAACTGTAGCACTCAGGGCAACTTTTACGTATGATGTCAATCAAAGTACAACTGTAGCTGTTCTTCAATGGCACGAGCAATCTTCTTGAACTAAGAAATAGAACAAAAAAGTGAACAATCTTGCTCAATTTAATAAAAACTTACCACTGAGTCGAGGCAATAGTAAAATGGCCCAAACTGAATCTGAAACACACCCTTATCTGTAGAGAGAAACCACTAAATCCGAAACCAAAGACTAACAACTCCTTTACCGAAAGTAAAGATTGCTACAGTCTGGTTTGGGATGACATCATCTGGAATTATGTAATGAAGAGTGAAGTTGTGAATGTAAACGTCAGTAAGAGTGATGTCATCTTCCAGAACAAGGTCAGCAAAAGTCACTCGTGAGTAAACCCTCTCATACTGTCTCATAATTATAGTGGAGCAATAGACAGTGTAGATGATGGAGGTGGAGAGGTGAATGCTGCCACTCCAGGAGATCCTGACAGCTGTGGCATTCACTGGGAGGAACCTGACTTCTTCCGGTTTATCTGTAGGTATGAACACACTACAGTAACAACTTCTGCAGGTAAGAAACACGCTTTAAATGACATTAGTCATGTAGAAAGTTTTTTTGGAAATTCTGCCACTAGCCACTAAAAAACGCATGTCCTAGGCTTTAAATACTATTGGGACCATTCTGGACTGCTGTCACACCACTTGGAAACCTGATCATAAAGACGTCAGCATTTGATGCAAACCCTGATCATAAAGACGTCAGCATTTGACGCAAAACCTGATCATAAAGACGTCAGCATTTGACGCAAACCCTGATCCTAAAGACGTCAGCATTTGACGCAAAACCTGATCATAAAGACGTCAGCATTGATGCAAACCCTGATCCTAAAGACGTCAGCATTTGACGCAAACACTGATCACTAAAGACGTCAGCATGTGACGCAAACCCTGATCCTAAAGACGTCAGCATTTGACGCAAACACTGATCATAGAGACGTCAGCATTTGACGCAAAAAATGTAATAATTATTTGTAAAACTACCCAATCTATATCTATCTGTATCTACTGGGTCATACCTGGAAGAGTTATCCTAGCAGAAGCATTAGATGGTTTGTTGTTAGTCACAGTACATGTGTACAGTCCAGGCAGTCCTCCAGCCACGTTCAGAGTGTGGGTGTACTGTGCAGTCACTGGGTCATTAAACACAGTCTGGGTTCCTTGGGTGACGGTGGTGGAGTCTCTGGTCCAAGTGACAGTGGTGGCAGGTCCACCTGTGGAGATACAGGTGAGGGTTTGTGTGTTAAAATCATACGTCACACCTCCAGCAATTGTAACACCACCTACACAATTATAAACAGCATGTATATATTATAATCTAATGGCATGTTTACACTTAGCAGCATTGTTGACTTGAGGTACACAAAGCCAATGAAAAGTAGACCTCGACCAGATAACAAAGAGTACAGGGAACAGAAAGTAACAGGTCTGTTGCTAAACCAACAGTGAAAGATTGTGTTTCCCAAAGAAAAACTGATGTACCCGAAGTGCATATAACGCCTCCCTCTTTCACTAAGACATCCTTAGCTACTACAAAATATCACAATCTGTGCCAACTTCACACACAATCACTACAATACCTTAGGACACATTAGTAACATACCTCCACTACCAGTGTACAGTCCCACATAGACTATGTCTCTCACTGATCTGTCACCATCATCATGGACAGCAATAGTTGGAATATCACAGCGATAGATACCAACTGGTGAGTTAGCATTCTTTGTACGACGTAAGTCAATTCCCTGACATACACGATCCTCAAAGGTATCAACATCAACATCATCAATGAATTCGAAGGGCAGTCTGGTTCCATCAGGGAAATACCAGTCTCCACGATGACGACCATCACCACCAGTACAACATGTGGTCAGGTCAGTGATACACTGAACACCTTCACTACCACTGCTACCACTGCTACCACTGCCAAGATCATTCCCCAATAGACTGAGGTCCACATAGGAATGGTTGGCCAGAGTCTGGTCGATGAAGGAGACATAAGGAAAGGTCTGGCAGTACGCCAGAGACCAGAACAAAGCCAACAGCAACAAAAGACGTAGAGCCATTCTTGCACTAAAGTGCAAACCCTCGGCAAACTGGGCGTGCGCGCGCGGTACCGCTAATTTGATGGGCTGGGCTGCTATTAGTATGCGTTTTTACTCGTGGTCTCCCGCTAGTAGCTCGCAGAGTCTGACACGGGCTAGCTACAGTAGTAGATAGCATGCGGGAGTCGATACACGCCCTTCGTTGTGACTTCTCGTGCCTTCAAGACAAGCGGACCCGAGCCCGTTGAAAATATAAGCGCATGCGCAATTTCCGCAGCGATAAAATGGCCGACTAGCATTAGCCGTACAATGGCGGAAGCGCTCTAGCTTCGCAACGGAGCGTTTTCAGAGAAAACTGTCCTATCGTTCTGACCTTCGTCGCCTGTTGGGTAGATGGTATCGTTTCTGGGACGAACAGACACCCGAGAAGTGAGATTGAGAGTAACAGACAGACAGACAGTACAGACAGACAGTGCAGTACAGACAGACAGACAGACAGACAAACCCAACTACTGTAACCCTCGCTGCGCATGCGCGCCGAGGGTTAACTAGCTACTCCAGCTAGCGCAAGTCACTTGTTGCAGACTGAAATTCACAAGTACGGCCTAAAAACAGCAGTTAGCATCCTACACAAACAGAAGCATTCCGGTTACTTAATATAGACTGAGGTAATTACATGAAACTGTTTGCCACTCTCTGAATAGGCCAGTACAGACTCAGCAGGTACACACTTACAAGGCACATTTCAAACACAGGCTATATAACAGCAAATGGCATGGTCACCGTAATTTGTGCAAACATACCATGCACGATCCTTATACAATAACATCATTGCTCTGTTTATACTTAGGTTGTGGCCCCCTTATTTATCTGGGTTAAACAAGCGAGCCATATAGCTTAGTCTTTTCATGAGAACACTATTATGCAGAGAACATACCTCCACTGGCAGTATACAGTCCCACATAGACAGTATATCTCACTGAGATGTCAGCATTAGTTGGAATATCACAGCGATAGATACCAGTTGGGTGGGTAGCACTGTTCCTACGACGTATGTCAACTCTCCACGTTTCTCATAGATATCACCAACATGAGAGAATGGCAGTTTAGTTCCATTAGGGAAATACCAGTCTCCACGATGAGCACCATTAGCACTAGTACAACATGTGCCCAGGTCAGTGATACACTGAACACTGTCACTACCACTGGGATCATTCCCCACTAGACTGAGGTCCACATAGGAATGGTTGGCCAGAGTCTGGCTCATGAAGGAGACATAAGGAAAGGTCTGCTGGCAGCATACATCTCCCACAGTCCAGCAAACTAACATCAGCAATAACATGTGAACCACAGCCATGTTTCTCTATCCACACAACTGCTGAATCAAGAGCTGAAAGGAAGTATTAATTATCACTACTAGCTACTATCTACCCACATTGTATGGAGAGGGCAATGATTTGTCATGTCATAGATCAACCAGCAAAACGGAAGTATTGATTATCCAAAAAATTTAATCATCCACATAAAAGTAATAGGATGAGAATGGAATGAATTACCATAGATATTGTCAGAAACAACAACAGTACAGTAATCTTCATAATATAGAACAACTACAAAAAATACAAAAGGCCACTGTTTCAGTTCTAGTGTTAAGTCAAGCTTTGTCTCTTCTTCTCGTTTTCAACGATTCCCCCGATTTCTCTGATCATGATGTCGACCATATTTGGAAGGTCATAGTGTGGGGACCAGTCTAGAGCTTCCCTGGCAGCAGAGTCCAGTAGTGTATCTGGCCAACTGTCAGCTGAGAGGGAGGGATGGAAGATAGGTGGAGGGGATTATGAGTTGCATTACCAAAGGTCCTTATTGGCAGACAGCAAGCTCGACCCAGTCGCATGAATAAATTGTAAATGGTGTAATTTTGCACTTGTGTTCGTTCGCTTGCATTGTTTGTGCTTTAGTAGAGCCATTTTTTTTATTTTCATGTCTCTCTCTCTATAGTTCTTCTTTCTCCTTGTGAAATCATGAGTCGTTTTGTTTATCATGCAGATGACATCTATAAGCTCTTTGCTACATAGAGAAGTGTCCTTTATCAGTTAGTCTTATAATGTACCACTGAAGCAAATGCGACACAAATAGTTATCCAATAAATTGACCAGATATTTTCGCTATTATATTATGATTGACTGAAATGGAGGAACCTCAGTTCCAATTTCACACATCATACAACAGTACAGACTGTTTGCCTACTATTAACACTACAGCAGCATAAGAACATGGAATAACTATACAACAAACACTACATCTAGAAGTTCACAGCACACACGACAAACTCTATGACTATAGCGGTTCATAGTTATGTGTTGTCCTGGTCACCCAGAAGGGAGAGGACAGCCTCCAAGAGAACATATCTCCTCTCCCAGGTTCCTCACAGCACAGACATTGAGTGTCTGAGTGATCCTCTCTCCCAGTCCCTGGGTCATGCCTGGTTCCAGTCTCACACTCTTCTTCATCGAGACTGGAGATAGAGGTGGGGCAGGAGGGACTCACCCTCACCAGCAGACCGTCGAGGACGAGGGAGGGACCCGTGGACACCCAACTCTGAATAATGCCCACCAGGTGGGTGGAGTTTGTGGTGGGGAAAGGGTTAACCAGAGTGGTGCGGTAGGTTGTCTTGGTAGGGTTGCCATGGCAAACAAACACCCCCTTTCTGAAAAAGCTCTGGGTTAAATTATAGCATTCGGAGCAACTGTTACGTATGATCTCAACAACGTAAGACTGCAACTCTTTCTCGATAATAGCAGCAACTTTCTTGAACTGCAAAACAACAATGGTTATAATAGGCATTTTTGCAATCTTACATTCTCAGAGACTTACTTCCCAGTTGAGGCAGTAGTAAAAAGGCCCAAACTGAATCTGAAGGTACACTTTGTCTATGTCTATACAGGGATAAACTATTTATCACACACCACAAAAGCATCTGTTTCTATTCTTTACCAAAAGTAAAGGTTGTCATTGTTGATGGATTATTCCCTGGCGAAGGGATGACATCACCGTAATAGTGCGAAGGGATGACATCACCATAATAGTGCGAAGGGACGGCACCATAATAGAGCGTAAAGTTGTGCACGTAAGAGGTACAAGTGAGGATGATGTCATCTTCCAACACAACGTCGGCTGAGGTCACTCCAGGTGGGTAAACCCTCTCATTTTTCTTAACGACAGCCGTGGAGCAATAGACAGTATAGATGATGAAGGTGGAGAGGTGAATGCTGCCACTCCAGGAGATCCTGACAGCTGTGGCATTCACTGGGAGGAACCTGACTCCTTCTGGCTTTCCTGTAGGTAGGAAATACACCTTTTTCTGCAGTACAAGTTAGAAATACACTTTACTGCAGTAAGAACTATAATGAAATTAGTCAAGTTGAAAATTTTATTTGCAAATCCTCATTACCTCATTACCACTAAACCACATGTCCTTGGCTTTTAACTCTGCATCTATCTCTATACTTTACCAAAAGTAAAGATTGTCAATGTTGAAGGGTTATTCCTATAACCATAATAGAGCGTAAAGTTGTGCACGTAAGAGGTAGAAGTGAGGATGATGTCATCTTCCAACACAATGTCAGCTGAGGTCACTCCAGGTGGGTAAACCCTCTCATTTTTCTTAACGACATTCGTGGAGCAATAGACAGTGTAGATGATGGACGTGGGGAGGTAGACACTGCCACTCCAGGAGATCCTGACTGCTGTGGCATTCACTGGGAGGAACCTGACTTCTTCTGGCTTATCTGTAGGTATGAACACACTTTTTGCTGCAGTAACAACTTCTGCAGGTATATAAAAATCCTGCCACTAAATCGCATGTCCTACGCTTCAAACTCCTTACCATCATCATCAGTAATGAGCACATATCCAGCAGTTGTACTGAGAGTTACGAATGATGATATCTTAGTGAGACTGAGGGAAAATGTCTCCCTTTTTCGTTCATTCACCAGGTCATCCGTGATGATCACATTCATGCAGAGTAGGTGTCACAGGGAGTAAATGTCAACACTTCACTCACAGCTTCATAGTCTGAAGGGCTCACTAGAACAAAGAGAGTAATTTATGCTAGTGATTTTGAATCACTGACACATAGCTACTAAGGACAAAGTGTTGACAATCAATCAAACTGAGTGTACAGGCAATGTAATAATATACCTGCACTTCCATCAGTGGTTGAAAAGGTGACCTGAAAAGACTGAGTGCTGGGACATGGAGTATTGCCTCCTACTGCAGTGATGCAGATCTCAACCGCTTCCTCTGATTCTGAGACATAGTAGGACCTTCTCTCCAGTCCCACCACAAGTGCTGCGAGACAGAAAAACAGAAGAAATCAACCTTTCCAAAGTTGTATACACCTAAAGGCTATTTAGGCTAGTTCAAATTATTAACTAAAACAATTTCCTTCAACCAAAACTGCACCATGGCCCCAAAACTAGGTACTCACCTTCAGTGTCAATGTAGGTGCTGTTGAAGGGTCCAGTACCAGCACTATTGACTGCTGCCACTTGAACAATGTATGTAGTGGATGGAGTCAGTCCAGGTACAGTTGCTTTGAGAACATCGCTACCAACTTCAACTGTTCCTTCAACTGCCCCATTCCTCAATACTTGAACAGTGTAACCTGTTATGACTCCATTGTGACCAAAACAGTATAGTTCTCCCCAGTGGACAGTGATGCTGTTTGGTGTGATTGTAACTCTCCTGAATGCCGAGGGTTGATCAGAAGGAGCTGGGGAGAATTAACAAACATCATAGTTGGTACGAAAAAGAGAAACATTCTCTGACCTGCTTCCTGAGTGGTTACAGTGATAGCATTACTGGCTGGACCTCTACCAGCATCGTTGATTGCTCTCATAGTAATGTTGTACCTACTGTCTTCCTCCAGTCCAGTTATGGTGACATTAGAAATACTATTGGCAGAGCTACTGCCCTCGTGGGTGTAGGGACAGCCAAATGAGCCGTCTCTCTGCCAATGTACAAAGACACCAGTCACTACTGAGCCACTAGGAATACTATGAGTGATATTGATGGCTGTGGCATTAGCTCTTGCACTATGAATAACTGGAGCTGTGAATGGAACTGTGTGAAATATAAAACCATATTAATAAGAATATATATCCCATATCTTTTATTTACCCAAGCCAACAGATGCAGCCTGTACTGGTAAACTGGAAAAACTGGCTGATGTGGTGGATGCAACTGAAATGCTGTAGACATGTCCATTACTCAGCCCAGTCAGAATGTAGCTGCTAGTGTTTGCTCCACTCACAACCACCGAATGACTGATGCCTCCTCTGGTATAGGAGATCCTGTAGCCAGTGGTATCTCCCAGTGGAGAGGGAGGAGTCCAGGTCACTGTAATACTAGTGGGACCATCCTGGACTGCTGTCACATCAGTGGGAGGTGGGGAACCTACACAACAATATTAATCATGGACTCTGAAACTACTATTGTCATACCGGCCACTGTTAGGTTAGCAGAATCAGCAGAGGGTTTGTTATTAGCTACAGTACAAGTGTAGAGTCCAGGCAGTCTCCCAGTCACAGTCAGAGCGTGGGTGTACTGTGCAGTCACTGGGTCATTCAACACAGTCTCGGTTCCTTGGGTGACAGTGGTGGAGTCTCTGGTCCAAGTGACAGTGGTAGCAGGTCCACCAGTGGAGATACAGGTGAGGGTGAACTGAGGACTGGCTCCATTGAGGTCTGAGTGCACAATTATTGTCATGTTTCCAGAAATTCGGGTATCACCTGCAAAGAAAAGTATGCTGAGCTACCACTATTTTCCTATAACAATTACATAATAGTTCTCTATCAGACAGATGTACATTAATGGTGAGGTGACATCAATCCCAGGACCATTAGCTATGCAGCTATCCCCACGAGTGCTTAATCACTAACAATTAATTTTGCGCACCGCTGACCTCCACTGTCAGTATACAGTCCCACATAGACTGTGTCTCTCACTGATTCGTCAGTAGAGTCATGGACAGCACCAGTTGGAATACCACAACGATAAATACCAACAGTTGATGAGTTAACCTCACGGCTACGACGTAAGTCAACTCTCTGAGATACACGAACCTCAAAAGTATCAGTATCAGGTCTATTGAAAGGCAGTCTACTTCCATCAGGGAAATACCAGTCTCCACGATGCTGACCATCACTACTAGTACAACATGTGCCCAGGTCAGTGATACACTGAACACCTTCACCACGACCACCAACAATAGAACTGTCAGGTCTCCCCACTAGACTGAGGCCAACATAGGAATGGTTGGCCAGAGTCTGGCTCATGAAGGAGACATAAGGAAAGGTCTGGCAGTACACCAGAGACCAGAACAAGCCCAGGAGAAACAGAACAGCTAGAGCCATTTGCCAAGAAGTAGCTACTCTAGCTATCACAAGTCACTTGTCGCAGACTGCAATTCACAAGTACGGCCTAAAAACAGCAGTGAGCGTGTCTTACACATCCTACACAAACAGAAGCATTCCACATAGTCATGTTGGTTACTACTGTTCACCAATATAGACTGAGGTTCACTTATTGTTTGCACTCCATGCAAGGCAAGGACTGACAGACTCAACAAGTACACAATATTACTTTGTGGCAGATTTTGGTCACCTTGTTTTGCACAAACATACTATATACACACGGTCCTAGTATTATACAATTAATACTGTTTATACTTAGGTTGTGGCCCCCTTATTTATCTGGGTTAATCAAGCAAGCGTTATAGCTTAGTCTTTTCATGAGAACACTATTATGCAGGGAGCATACCTCCACTGGCAGTATATAGTCCCACATAGACTGTGTCTCTCACTGAGATGTAATTATCATCATGGACAACTTCAGTTGCAATATCACAGCGATAGATACCAGTTGGTGAGTTAGCATTGTCCCTACGACGTATGTCAACTCTCTGAGCTCCACGATACTCATAGATATCACCATTTCCAGAGAAAGGCAGTCTAGTTCTATCAGAGAAATACCAGTCTCCACGATGACCACCATTAGCACTAGTACAACATGTGTTCAGGTCAGTGATACACTGAACACTGTCACTACCACTGCCATCATCTCCCACTTGACTGAGGTCCACATAGGAATGGTTGGCCAGAGTCTGGCCATCGAAGGAGACATAAGGAACCCTCTGAGAGTGAACCAGAGACCAGAACAAGCCCAGGAGCAACAGAACAGCTAGAGCCATTTGCCAAGAACTAGCTACTCCAGCTATCACAAGTCTCTTGTTGCAGACTGAAATTCACCAAGTACGGCTTAAAAAAGCAGTGTGCGCGGTTTACACATCCTACACAAACAGAAGCATTCCACATAGTCATGGTTACTGCAGTTCGCCAATATAGACTGAGGTTCACTCATCATGCTGGTTACTATACTGTTCTCACCAATATAGACTGAGGTTCATTTGCCACTCCCTGCAAGACAAGGACTGACAGACTCAACAGGAACACAATTACTGTAGCCAAGGCATATTTCAAACACAGGCTAACAGCTAGTGGCAGATTTTGGTCACCCTGTTTTACATATACTACGCACAGTCCTTGTATATTATCATTAAATCATTGTTGTGTTTACTTACGTATGTTGAGACCCCATTATTTAGCTTAGTCTTTTAATGAGAACACTATTATGCAGAGAACATACCTCCACTGCCAGTGTACAGTCCCACATAGACTGTGTCTCTCACTGAGATGTCATTATCATAGACAGCAATAGTTGGAATATCACAGCGATAGATACCAACTGGTGAGGTGGGATTGTTACGGCGACCTAGATACACTCTCTGATGACCACGATGCTCATAGATACGTCCAGAGAATGGCAGTCTAGTCCCATCAGGGAAATACCAGTCTCCACGATGAAAACCATCAGTACTACTACAACATGTGCCCAGGTCAGTGATACACTGAACACTGTTACCACTGAGATCATTCCCCACTAGACTGAGGTCCACATAGGAATGGTTGGGCAGAGTCTGGTCCATGAAGGAGACATAAGGAACCCTCTGAGAGTGAACCAGAGACCAGAACAAGCCAAGGAGCAACAAAACAGCCAGAGCCATTATCCAAGAACTAGTCTAGCTATCAAAATGTGAAAAGCTATCTGCTGTCAGGTACAGAGGTTTCACAATAACATCCGGTAAGAGAGTGGCTATAATAGCAGTGAGCAATGGTCTGCGCACATCCTACACAAACATATTCCACAGAGTGTGAATACTGAGGTCCATATAGGAGTTGACCCAGTAAAAAGTCTTTCCCAATAATTGTTGCATTGACAGTCATAAGAAAGAGTAAACCAAGGGTTAAATTAGCCATAGCTGACTTTATTAATGGTGGTAGGTACATATTGCTAGGCAGGTGGATAAAACGTTAATCCTTTTACACTGTCATGGACAGATCTACTCTTACTCTCTTTTATTCTATGCCACTGGTTAACATTAGGACACATTAGTAACATACCTCCACTGGCAGTATACAGTCCCACATAGACTGTGTCTCTCACTGAGATGTCAGTATCATCATGGATAGCATTATGTATTCCACACAGTACCACTATAGCAAGCTACTGAGATCCATATAATTATATAGGAGTTTACCCAGCAAAATAATTATTATTTCCCAATAATTGTTGCATTGACGGGGTCATAAGGAAGGGTCTGAAGAAAAGTTCTAATGGTGGTACATAAGTAAGTACATAATATTATTGCTAGGCAAGTGGCTAAAATGTTAATCCTCATGCATGTACACCATCTTAATGATGGACAGATCTATTCTAGTGTCACTCTCTTTTTTCTATGCCAAGTCTGGTTAACACACACTGACCACAATATAACATACCTCCACTGCCAGTATACAGTCCCACATAGACTGTGTCTCTAACTGATCTGTCATTATCATCATGGAGAGCATTAGTTGGAATATCACAGCGATAGATACCAACTGGTGAGGTGAGATTGTTACGACGACGTAGCTCTACTCTCTGATCTTCACGTTGCTCATAAATATCACCACCTCCAGAGAATGGCAGTCTAGTTCCATCAGGGAAGTACCAGTCTCCACGATGAGAACCCTTCCTACTAGTACAACATGTGTTCAGGTCAGTGATACACTGAACACTGTCACTACCACTGGGATCATTCCCCACTTGACTGATGTCCACATAGGAATGGTTGGCCAGAGTCTGGCTCATGAAGGAGACATAAGGAAAGGTCTGGCAGTACACCAGAGACCAGAACAAGCCCAGGAGAAACAGAACAGCCAGAGCCATATTCCAAGAACTAAACTAGCTACTCCAGCTCTTACAAGTCACTTGTTGCAGATTTAAATTCACAAGTATGGCCTAAAAACAGCAGTGAGTATTTTTACACATCCTACACAAACAGAAACATTCCACGTAGTCATGCTGGTTACTATACTGTTCACCAATATAGACTGAGGTTCACTTATTGTTTGCCACTCCATGCAAGGCAAGGAGTGACAGACTCAACAAGTACACAATATTACTTTGTGGCAGATTTTGGTCACCCTGTTTTGCACAAACATACTACACACAGTCCTTTTACAATTAATCATTGCTGTGTTTACTTAGGTTCGGGGCCCCCCATTATTTATCTGGGTTAATTAAGTGAGTATTAAAGCTTAGTCTTTTCATGAGAACACCATTGTGCATTTCTTACATACCTCCACTGCCAGTATACAGTCCCACATAGACTGTGTCTCTCACTGAGATGTCAGTATCATCATGGACAGCAATAGTTGGAATATCACAGCGATAGATACCAACAGTTGATGAATTGGTGCCACGGTTACGACGCAAGTCAACTCTCTGAGTTTCACGATCCTCAAAGGTATTAACATTAGGTGCAGGGAAAGGCAGTCTAGTTCCATTAGGGAAATACCAGTCTCCACGATGACCACCATCACTACTAGTACAACATGTGCTCCGATCAGTGATACACTGAATACCTTCACCATCAACATCAGGTCTCCCCACTAGACTGAGGTCCACATAGGAATGGTTGGCCAGAGTCTGGCTCATGAAGGAGACATAAGGAAAGGTCTGGCAGTACACATCTCCCACAGACCAGCAGACCAACATCAGCCATAGGAAGGGAACTACAGCCATGTTTCTCTATTAGGCAACTACTGCAATGCCAGCAAAAAGGATTACAATAATCTGGATAATATATCCACCCACACATAAGAAGACTTATGGAATGGCATTATAGCCATTGTTAGAGATAATGCCCCAAGATTATACTCGGCAAAACCACTGAAGAAAATGATTATGCTACAAGCAAACTATCTTATTTTCTCTCGCTCCTTCATGAAGGATTGAGGATGAAAATTGACTATATTATATAACTAGAATGAAATAATCTTATGGTCAGATATTATAGTGTACAAATCCTTGATAACAAGGAACAACTAATAAATAATACAAAAATACGAAATGGAGTTCTAGTGTTAAGTCAAGTTTTGTTTCTTCTTCTCGTTTTCGACAATTTCCCCGATATCTCTGATCATGATGTCGACCATATTTGGTAGGTCGTAGTGTGGTGTCCAGTCCAGAGCTTCCCTGGCAGCAGAGTCCAGTAGTGTATCTGGCCAACTGTCAGCTGAAAGGGAGGGATGGGGGATGGAAATTAAACTTAAACTTCATTTGTCCCTCTCTAGTTTTTCTGTCTCCTTGTGAAAAGCGTGTGAGTTTATTATGCAGACGGCAGCAGAAAAGCATACACCAGTATTTACATTATCTTTATACATTGTATATATGTACTAAATTCTGGTCAAAGCCCCTCCCACTAATCTCCCTAGGCCACACCCACCAATTGCCTGCCTGTCGTCGGGACGATACTCAACAACAAAATCGTCGACGTGTTTCTTCATCTCCTCCACCAGTTCTCCGGGAGTGAAACTGACGGCTTGAATGTTGTAGACGCGACCGTCTGTATTGAACCTTTCAGGAGGAGCCTCTAGACACTTTATAGTGGCCTTTATAGGTGAGAGGAGAGAAAGAAAACAGAGAGAGAGAGAGAGAGAGAGAGAGGATGGCTAACACTCAAACGTGTCTACTCTTTATATAAGCTCTTTGCTGGAAGGCCTTTTTTCAGTTAGTATTATCATGTACCACCGAAGCAAATGTGACACAAATACTTCTGTGCTCCATTTGCCTCAGAAAAGCAATGATGACGCGAAGAAGGCACTCTTTGTGGTTTTGATACTGCATATGAATGGCCTCGACTTCGTGAGGTGGCAGTTTTAGCACTTAACTGAAATTTATCGACTAGATACTTGCAGATTGCTCGGTTTGCTCTATTATACGATGATGTCATGATGACGTAATCCCACTAATCACCCACCCACCTCCAAGCAGTCGTCGATGTAGATCATGGGCAGTCTGGTGTCCTCTCTGAGGAAACACTCGTAGCGACGAGACCGCAACACGTCGTAGAATATGTGGATTGCGTAATCGGTGGTCCCGCCCCCTGGCATATTGGGGGAAATTACCCCGGGGAATCTGAGGGACCGGAAATCCAGTCCATACCGATGATGGTAGTACTGGAATGGAGACAAGATATAATCTAGAATGACAATAGTTAAGATTTTTGGGTTGCAATATTCATTGCACTTATACACACAACTTGCCCCCCATTTTTGCAAAATTCCTTGTTTCTAAAGGGTTAATCGGTAGTCACAAAGGGGTTAACCCACCTCTCCCAACAGCTCCATATGAACCTTGGCCACCCCGTACACAGTCCGAGGTCTCTGAACGGTCAGATCGGGACAGATCTTGGGAGCATCAGGACCAAATGCCCCGATGGTGGACGGACAGAACAGCTTCAGTCGGTGAGCTCTGCACAGTTCCAGGATGTTGTGGAGTCCAGCGATGTTAACCTGAAGATTGAGATTTTTACCTAGCTATGCAGCAACATTTGGAAAAGATTGGTATAGCGCAACAGAAAGTAAAAATTATAGAAGTTGTGATTATGTCTTACATACAAAGATTGGCTATTTTGTGGTGCAAATGGATGCTTTCAAACTTCTCGGAATTTAACTAAAGTGCTAAAGATCACCATTCTACTTGAAATTCTATGTTTAAACTCATGCCTAAACTCACTGCAAGGGCTTTCTGGACGTCTTTTTCTCCCAGAGCAGAGAGGATGGCAGAGAAATGGACGACAGTGTCAATGTTGTTGTTGACTACGATTGAGTGCATGTCCTTTATGTCTGTGACATCCGCATAGATGTAGGGCTCTGGGGAGAGGAAGGAGAGGGAGGGAGGAGGAGAGGGAGGGAGGGAGGGAGGGAGGGAGGAGAGGGAGGAGAGGGAGGAGAGGGAGGAAGAGAGAGGAGAGGGAGGAGAGGGAGGAGAGGGAGGAGAGGGAGGAGAGGGAGAGAGGGAGGAGAGGGAGAGAGGGAGGAGAGGGAGAGAGGGAGGAGAGGGAGAGAGGGAGGAGAGGGAGGGAACAAGAAAGAAGGGCGAGAATGAAGAGAGGTAAAGCATCCACTAAACCCTTCGATTTCTCATTATTTTTTCCTCTCCCTGACCTTCCATTCTATCTTTGTCAGGAGGCTTAAGAATGTCCGACAGAATCACGTTCCCCATTCCATACTTGGCACTGGAATCAGACAGAGATCATCACCAGAGAACGGAGAAATGAAAAATATGTGTTTAAATAAGAATTGGGTAAACTGTGATTATTGCTATAGTGAAGTTTATACTTCTTGTGGCTCTAAACAAACTGTTGCTTGCTACAGTATGCATAGCCAGAGCCAATATCACAGGTTATGTAGGTAAACTAGCACCAAACTACGTACAAACTAGAAAGCTTTGTATCAGAGAAGCGGTCATTGCTATGCTAAATGGCTCAGAGTCAAGCTGCATGTTAGGTTCCTACTTGAGATGTACACAAGCACTACACTTGAAAGCCGCTACTTTGGCCGGCACCTGGACTGTCATGTCTACATACAATACATCACATAATGGGGAGATGTTAGCAAAGAATCCTTCCTTTGACCAACAGATTACTAGTTCTGTCTCAAGTCTAACTAGATTTGGACACACCATGGCTAATCCTCAGAGGTGCACTCTTTTTAGCAGAAGGTTCCTAAAGATATTTGAGCTACTGCTATGTACTACGAACTAAACTCGAGACAGATTAGTTTGCCTTACGGAAAGCAGACAAGTGTTCAAACCCACATCAATGCAGTGAAGCAGGCACCCACTCCTATGCCTATACACCCAATTCCAACGTGAAAACGGCGAGATTCAGAGGGTGCAGTGTTCTTAACGTATATACCTCATCATTTTGGCCAGTTTTCTCCCCAGCTGGCCGGCCCCTCCTGTGATCAACACACGAGGATACCCATCATCGGCTCGAGCAGTAAGACGAGCGGTCGCCGTGGATACGCATCTAGTGAGGGACTTCTGCCGCCTCCAAGACGGCTGAGCGGAACGGAGAGAGGGAGAGAGGGACGAGAGAGGTCTCAGGGAGAAGGAGGAGTGGAGGCGATGGCCAGGGAAGAGGCGAGATACAACGGCAGCCATCGATATCGCGCGGAGACTGGCACCGCCCACTTTTGATTCGCATATACGGCGCATGCGCACAATACATGGGCACAATTGATCTCCCTCTCTCCTCTCACACTACGTTGTTCATGCTCGCTCAAAAGACGTTTTTCTCCATTATATAGCTGGTCAAACCAAAAGTATTATGTTTACAAGCTATGATCAGCACTGATAATGATAATTATGATACAACTGCTGATGATGAACAATAATATTCACACAATTTTGAACTCAACACATACACTACATACACACAGTATGTACAACGATACATACAGACAACGTTAACCCTTTTCTGACAGTCTCTCGGTGGTGGGGCAGGGGTTAAACTCTGGAGGTGTGGCTGCTCTGGGACGGCACGTGAAGAAGGGGGTTTGCTCCCACATTCTGATTGGTCAATGGCCTGCTGCTGTGCTTGTTGCTGTGGTGATGACCTCCGACCCCTCCTACCTGCAGTGGGTTGGACACCTTTCTCTGTGGTTGATGTACGGCATTGCCATGGTAACCAAGTTCGTACGCAGTCTGCGACCTCTGCTTGAGAATAGGGGCATGGTTTGAACTTTGACTTCCTACTCCGACACCGTGACCATAGTGATTATCATACGACATCTTTTTCATTCGTTGTTGTTGTTGCGGCTGCTGATGATTTTGGTGATTATTGAGGGGCTGACCAGATACTGCAGGGTCGTGGTGTAACCGTGGCGACGTCCAGGTAAGATTAAGAACCTGGGTACGGTCGCTAGGGACGTAGTAAGTATTCAAATCTTTGCGAGGTGCCCCTGGCGATCGACCAAGGTAATGAGGAGAGTACTGTGGCCCAAAGCTTTGCTGTTGCTGAACTTGCTGCGGTCGACTGCTTGGTTGACTGTTGCGTGCAGGACGATCCTGTGATACCCCTGATTCCAGGGACGTCCCCTCGGAATAGGATCTCTGGCGTACGGGAGTCCCGCCGGTCTGGAACTGGATCATCTTGGTACGGTCTGGAGACCGACTCGGTTTTCCCACCGGGGGAGGAGGAACGAAAGTTGTGGTGCTTGTAACATGGAGTGGCAATGTAGTCGTCGCCGTACCAGCAGCCGCAGTGCTCCGTTGTTGATGTAGCTGTTGCCATGGCGATGACCTCACTTGACCCCCGATTGCCTGTGGCGGCAGAGCTCTTCCGAAGAGCTGTCTGTTCTCGGGTGAAACCACGGGGGCCCGCAAACTGGGGGTTCCACTAGGATTTTGCTTCGCGAGGGGTTTACTTGCGTTATCATACGCATAGTAAGACTGCTGCTGAGAGCTGCTCTTTTTCTTTCCGTTTCGATTCCCGTTCCCGCCTCCTCCTCTTCCTCGACCTCCTCGCGTGCGCCCGCGCGTTCTCTCGGGGGCGTGGCCACCACTCCCACTCTGTAGCCTCCCTGGCGACTTCTCTGATTTGATCGGTGAGGGTTGAGGTGTGCTGGTAATTGCAGGGGATTTCCCCAGTTGATTCTGACTCCTCAATGAACTTCCACTGCCCCCGCTGCTCTGCCCCCCGGGGGCCCCTGATATTACCGGACCCCTTGGAATATTGGGGGTGCTGTGCGAGGAAGGTTCGGGAAAGTAGTGTCGTTCCAGCTGACTCTGCGTCTGAGATTTGTAATCTCGTTTCGCGGGGATACCCTGGAACATTTGCAATTGTCCCGATGCCGACAAAGATGGTGACGACAGTGGTGCCCCCCGGGGGGCTGAAATTTGGCCCCCCGCAGTTAACACTGTCGGATTGGACGACTGATGCGGAGTGAAGTTCGACAGAGCGTTGTTATTGTTCCCCGATGAAGGAGGGGGCAGGGGGAATATCTGGTGGGGGTTCGTTGGTATACGAGGGGGGACTGGGGCGCTCCGCTGCACCTCGTGCTGCATCTCGTGCAACTGGTGATGAATATCGTTAGCAGCCCCGTCGTCTCTCACTTGTGAATTCCTTGGCTGTTGGTCGAGGAGGGGAACTGGGGCCCCCGGTAAAAGGGCGTGGTCTGTGAAATCTGGAGTCGGGAGATTCGGCGGTGACGCCGAAAATCTCCCCTCCTCTTCGTTGTCTTCGAAATCGCCGGCGAGTTCGTTCTCCTCCAAAATGGCCTCTGTGTCCTGCAACTGGACCACCTCTTGCCTCGCAGTCTCCAGCGTGTCGTACGGGGACGCCACGGGTGAATCGATGTCGACGTCGTGACGGTTACAAGAGTGGTTTGCGTTGCTGGCGTTGGCGTTGTTGAGTATTCCGGGATTCGACACTGCGAGTGTGCCCATGTTCAGCGTGGCGTGGAGCGCACTCTCTAGCTGCGAGTCATTCTGGAGCGAAGGGACGTACGACTCGAGCGTCGGGACTGATTCCGGTACCAGAGAGCCACATGGATCCAAATCCTCGGAATCGGTTCGAACGGACGACCCCAGTGACGGAGCCCCCGGGATATGTAGAACTCGGATGCTCTCGTGTGCATCGTGTGGGTTTGAACTACCTGCTGTAGCAGTTGGTGGATAGTGAAATGAGCTAGGAATCGGGGTATGAGCGAATGGGGACATGGGATTATGGGAATCAAACCCAGCTGTCCTTGGCGTGGAAACGTGACTGGAACCGACTCCCGAATCAACAGTCCCAGTGGTTGTTGATAGTACAGGTCTATTGCTAGGGACCTGATAGTGCGGCGAAGTGCCCCGCGATTGATGGTGAGATGAAGCCACCTCTGACTGGAGTTGCTCTCCGCTAGACGAAATGTAAGCTGACGACCTCTGTTGCTGTTGAGGGGCGCAGACTCGAGGCTTCTTGTAGTAATCGTCCTCTCGTGACGGAATCCCTGAATCGATGACGGGTGGGGCAGACAGCTGCATCTGTCCCGTCGTCTTGTTCCGGGAGAGGATACCCGTGAGCGGCTGCAAACCGGACATACGGGTTTGGGTGGCCGCGTTCGTCGCCTGTCCGTTCATGTTGACCAGCGTCGGGGAGCTGATCTCTACATTGTGCGGACGATAGCTCTTCGACTTTCTCCTACCAATCTCGCAGCATTTCTTCGGAACTCCGATCCAGTACCAATCCCCAGTCCTGTCCGGATGCAGAAACACGTAATACACTAATAAAAGGAGCGTCCCCAGGAGAAAGAGTCCGATCACCATAGCAACCGATGCGGGTGCGTACCACAGCGACGAATATTCCGTGAAGAAAAGCACGACCATGAGAGCGTTCTCGATAAACGTCAGAACTAGGTACACGGAGATGGCGTAGCGTGTCCGTCCGTCCTTTAGACTGAAGAAGACAAACTGGTAGAGGCACGCGGCGTACAGAGAGAACGGGACCTCCAGCCACCAACGTTCCCTCCTCGGACGCACGGCGTAGTCCAAACAAAACTGGCTTTTCTGGTTTAGCACGCCAAACACCGACAGTACCCAGTGGACACCGAGGAACAGCAGCACGAAGTAGCCGAACGCGTGTGCGAAAAGGGTTAACGCGGCAATTCGCGACACCACTATGCACAGGTAGAATCCGAGCAGGGCGAGATGTGCTGGTAAAATGACGCGACGCGATTTGCTGGAGAGTCGATCGGACGTAACAAACGACATCAGACCGTAGAGGAACGACACGATGCAGACTCCGAGAACGGGAAGAAGGACTTTCATCGAGACGATTGAGAACGCCGCGTGGTCGGGGTGGGAGGAGTCTGTTGCCACGGTGACGGTGTATAGGTGTACGAGGATCTGCGGCGCCGTGGCGACAAAGGCGTGGAAGAATCGGAGGAGAGTTGCGTCGCGATGGAGGACCCGGAGACTAGTGGTCTGGCCGGAGATTATCTGTCTGGCTATTAGCTCTCCGTACCTGCGAGGGAGGGGAGAGGGGAGAGAGGGAGGGAGGGAATGTAAGCTGTTGAACAAATGATACTCCCTATAGGCCATGGAATATAATTCCTGGCGCATACCAGCTACCATATTAATAGCATACTATCATAGCCACATACATCTATGATGCTAGGTACCATGCCCATCCCTGTATACTAAGTACTACCGTACTTAGTAATACATACACACTTACAACAGAGATCACAATTGTAAACAGCATGTGTGACATATTTCTCAGCTAATATTTAGAACACACATATTTCTTCTTCCTAGTTAGTCTAATGCACAGTAATGAAAGAATAGCTGGACTCATTAGTGGAGCAATTTACAGGAAATCTCAGTAGATCTATTGTAATGCCGTCGATCTTCCGAAATCATTCTACGAACGTAAGATGATGTCATTGATGATGTCACTTTTGAAACACCTGCATAATGCTGAACACCTAACTTATCAGGGCACCTCGCTACAAGATGTAAGCATTAAGCATTATAATCACACGATGTACTATGTATGGCAAACTGACACAATAAAAGCAGACTCTTACTGAAAATGAAAATAATAGCAGTGAAAGAAACAGGGTCACAGCAATAGGTTATGAAAGACATATCTTTGCAACAGTAGCTCCCTATTATGCCACAATAAGAACTAGGCAACCTTTAGCAACGAAGGCAATGGGATACCAGACCACAGTGAAATTGAGAAACAGGCGCCAACAAAGACATATCTTTCACTTGCATGCAACAGTAGCTCCCTATTATGCCACAATAAGAACTAGGCAACCTTTAGCAACGAAGGCAATGGGATACCAGACCACAGTGAAATTGAGAAACAGGCGCCAACAAAGACATATCTTTCACTTGCATGCAACAGTAGCTCCCTATTATGCCACAATAAGAACTAGGCAACCTTTAGCAACGAAGGCAATGGGATACAAGACCACAGTGAAATTGAGAAACAGGCGCCAACAAAGATATATCTTTCACTTGCAACAGTAGCTCCCTATTATGCCACACTAAGAACTAGGCAACCTTTAGCAACGAAGGCAATGGGATACAAGACCACAGTGAAAGTAAAAACACATGCAAACATACCCAATACACTGCGATGAAAGCAAGCTAAACAGTCACCTAAGAAATGTTGCCAGGCTAGCATCCATGAACAGGTCAATAGCAATGAATACATTTTGTGAACAGGCGGACAAGACAAGCATCTTCAGCGAGCAATTTGTCGCGCCAAAAGGGAGCGCTATGTCAGTGGAACACTGCTACCACGGCGACGACAAAACAAACGAGGTAATCCACTCAACGACAGTAATAGTGGCAGAATAGCGCAGACAGGGCTGCGTGTCAGAGTGAAAGAGAGCTTGTTTACCTAAACATCATTCTGATGGGTAGCTACAGAACATTCTATTCATAGGGACAACAACTACACTAGAGTCACATTCAGCATCTGAAACAGGGGTTTGTATTGCGTATACACAACGTAATGTTCTTTCTGAGTAAGACTCAGTATTACGGTGTGTACTATCTGAGACAGCTTGGCTGGCTGGTCTGAATCACTCATACAGAGCAAGGCAGAGCACTCTGTGTTCTAGAGAGGGCTCTACCAACTGAGACAGCTCGGCTGGCTGGGCTGAATCACTCATACAGAGCAAGGCAGAGCACTCTGTGTTCTAGAGAGGGCTCTACCAACTGAGACAGCTCGGCTGGCTGGGCTGAATCACTCATACAGAGCAAGGCAGAGCACCCTGTGTTCTAGAGAGGGCTCTACCAACTGAGGCAGCTCAGCTGGCTGGGCCAAATCACTCATACAGAGCAAGGCAGAGCACTCTGTGTTCTAGAGAGGGCTCTACCAACTGAGGCAGCTCAGCTGGCTGGGCCAAATCACTCATACAGAGCAAGGCAGAGCACTCTGTATTCTAGAGAGGGCTCTACCAACTGAGACAGCTCAGCTGGCTGGGCTGAATCACTCATACAGAGCAAGGCAGAGGAAGGCAGAGCACTCTGTGTTCTAGAGAGGGCTCTACCAACTGAGGCAGCTCAGCTGGCTGGGCTGAATCACTCATACAGAGCAAGGCAGAGGAAGGCAGAGCACTCTGTGTTCTAGAGAGGGCTCTACCAACTGAGGCAGCTCAGCTGGCTGGTCTGAATCACTCACACAGAGCAAGGCAGAGCACTCTGTGTCCTAGAGAGGGCTCTACCAACTGAGGCAGCTCAGCTGGCTGGTCTGAATCACTCACACAGAGCAAGGCAGAGCATGGTATATACCTCATTTGGTACAGCCTTCTCTAGAACACAGAGTGCTCTGCACAATAGCCCTCTACTAACTTATATAGGTACACAAGAGACCGCGATCCCAATAGTTATAAACACTGATGTTCATACATAGTGAAGGGTGTCCCCATATTGCAGCAACAATAGTGTGTCGGATTACAGGGTTGGCCCTGTTTGACCTTGAAACGAGGCCAAATGAGTGTTGAACCAACAGCAGCAGTACCCTGCCAGTACACAATATCCCTCGCATAGACACCATGTACATGACATGTACATTTCATGTAACTATCATGTAAATCTCATGTGCATCATGTATAATATACGTATGTACTATATACAGTATGTACGTCCCATGTACATGTATGTATAATATCCTGTAGTCTCATGTATATACATTGTCTGTAGATATCATGTAGATTCTGTACAGGCCATGTATGGCTGTACAAGAGAACGTACAGATGTTGTATGGTGCATATTGGCCATGTGTAGTCGGCATGTACAGAATGGCTGGCAAAATGTCAACAGAATCTTGGTCCAAGAATTCAGGGAAACTGACTTACCAAAGGCACCTTAAATAATGCTTATGTAACCACGTGTACATATTCTCAGGGTGTTGGTGAGTCAACGGTAAACAACACTAAGGCTGCTGAACACTTTGTAGTATACACTGTACCACGATCAAACCTACATACAGACAAGTGTATCCAGACTTTGTAAAGTGTGTATGTAGATAGTCGCATGCGTTGGTTGGATAATACACGCAGTTGACCGATTCTTTTGCTCTACTTCCAACCCTACTTTTCAATGCTATTGCCAATTGTTGCTTTACCTCCCTCCCTCCCTCCCTCCCTCCCTCCCTCCCCGAACTCACCTATACACCTCTCCCAGGAGCAGACAGTGACCGACAATGGCGGAGAAACTGCACTTCCTCTTGTAGCTCCCCGGAAAAGGACCGCTGGCCTCCAGCTGTCTCACGCTCACTCTGTCGAGGTCGTAGTACCAGAACAGAGATATTGCCCCGTTTATGAGCACCGCTCCGAAATAACACACCAAGGTGAGGGACATACTGACGTAGAGTTCAAAGGTCGCGTAGTGTACGGCGACCCACACGACGACGAATCCCTCGGCGACGTACGTGATGATTGCGAAACACCACGACAGGAGGTTCCAGCATAGAAACCAGAGGGGCCGCTCGGAATGTCCGTCGTTGTCCTCCGATGACGACGACAGAAGAGTAGGGGAAGACCCTTGGGAGATTACATCGTTAGTGTTGGCGTTGCTCCCAGTGTCGTCGTGGCGACGAGAGGCGATGCTGCTGGGAGTGGCCGTTCGTCCCGGGGTCAAAGTCGGATCCATCACTCAACCTTACAACAAAAAACACGAACACATTAACTAAGGAATGCTATAGTACGTGGGGCCACGCCCACTTTTCATTATAATTGCTATCTGAAAACACTTGTCCACCAGACAAGAGCATGCACACTTGACAAACATCCCATCAGTTGTCCCTGAAATCAATCCGGTCTGCGACACTTGATGCGTGAAACGTGAATAACGACTTGAGAATTTTGTGCAACAGAGGACGTGGGGAGAATGTGTAATGCAAACTCTGCAACCAATTACTTTGATTGAAACGCTTTTGGGGAACCGCAACCGAATTAGGCCAAATTGCACGTGGCGTACGAAATGGGAATAATTGGCGACCAGTCACGCCTGTCGAACAAAGCCTCGAAAAATTCTAATCGTAAACGTATCCTTTTGCTGCGTACATCAGCCCAGCAGCACTGTGTGTGTGTGTGTGGGTGAGCAATGTGAATGCAGTGGGTGAAATGATGGGTAGGTATATGAGGTGGCACACGTAGATATATAATATGTAAAGTAGTAAGAACTGCAAAGGAAGTCAGAAATTAGAAACCAACTGGAAGACAATATGAGAAGTAAAAACACACATTTATATACCACACAAATAGCTAATAGGTAGTATAGCAAGCAAGACGGAAATCTGCAACTTCAAAACACATTTTATAGGTCTGAAAGCACGACACTTGTGAATGTGTGGAATGTTTCAAGTGCATGTAAAGTGGGGGCTACAAAATAATAGAGTGGGCACTGGCTGAAGTATAATTACTCCACACTCTTGTTTACGAGCTGGTCATCCAAGATGGTCAAGATAGCTAAAATGGCTAAAACTTTCCCACTACTAAACATTAGCTACTAGACTAACAAAAAAGCACAGCGTCAGCCTACAGTAGTACTATAATAATGGCCACGTAGCAGCTGCCTACATAGAAACACAGACAGCGACAACAGCTAGTGTGCTGTTTTCCCAAACGTGAATAAACTTGCGACACGACACAAGATTTTTCCACGGTCTAGCTAGCGTCGGACGTGAACTATGAGAATCGAACGGACATACGTAGGAAACACTCAAGCACGGCTCACCTGTACGGCAGATAGCGGAGATCAATCCGTCGGGGGAAAGGTGAAGGCGTGTGTACCGACTCCTAGACCAGGGACGATACCACGACGAGGAGACGGTGTTTTTGTTACGGCGAGAGAGGGAGGCGTCGAGCGCCTCTTGGCACGGCGCGAGGCGCTAACCGGGTTAGCTGCTCCCGACTTGGAGTTACGGCTGCGGCGTCCACTGACACACAACTCCGGCTGCCAAAACCACTCCTGCTGCTTTCTCGATCTCTTGCTCCCCCACACGCCCTCTATTTAACGCCCACGCCGCTGAATTCCTGAGCGGCCGGCTTGGCAGTGCGCATGCGCATAACTGCGCGGCGCGCGACATTGCAGCCGGCAAAAAGCACAGGGTGTTTTTATGACGACGAAAGGTTGTCATTTGCCTTTTTGGGCCGGTATACTGGCATGCAGTTTATATTAATTTTTTCACGCTCACTGATGAATACACACACAAATTAGGTCAATCCACAAGCTAAAAATATCAGTTCAGTTCAATTAGTTTTCTGTCTCAGTATAAGTATGTATTAGTTGGGGGTGTCTTCAATTTTTGACGAACGGCAGTAGGTTGTCGATGAACCACTGGTCGGTGAACTGAAGGTGGTCAAATGGAGCCGACAGGAAAAGGAGATTGCCTGTGGAGTTCAGATGTTGCAGACCCAACAAATCCTGTGTGTGTGTGTGTGTGAGGGGGGTAATGGCAGACAGTGTAAGTGGACATAGTTGTCTGAATAGGTAGTATTCTAAACGAAGCTGTTGGTACCACAACGGGATACGTAATGCTAAAATCGCTCAAATTTCTCTTGACAAACAAATAGCCAAACCTTTGTCCAAATGTCACTCTCGTAGAGAGAGTACACATCCTTGTCCTGGCCAGACTTGTAGAAACCAAACCACTGAGATGGGGTAAAAGGGAGAGATGGGGGGGAGTGTGAGAGAGAGAGAGAGGCGAAGCAAAACTGGGACGACTACTTTATCGCGCGAAAATGTGTTAACACACACGAACAACTTTCCTGTATGGGTATATATGATAGCCAATGGGAAACATGTTCCATGATGTATATATACAATATCTACTGCACACAGATTGTTACCTCGCTCTCCTTGGGTTGTACCATAGTGTCCAGCTCAAATTTGACCAACACCAGTTTTTGGATGGCAGATAATCTCGTCTTGTAGTCCGGGTTCATTCGCTATAGACAGAGAGGTCACGAAAAAGATGAGTGGAGATATACCGTAATCTAATACAGTGGAACCTCTGATAAGGGACCCTCTGAGATAGGGACGACCTCTCTACAAAGGACACTTGTTTCAACCCCATGCTAATACTTTAGTGTATTACTTGACCTCCGAGATAGGGACGACCTCTCTACAAAGGACAAAAATCGTTGGCCCCATAGTGTCCCTTGTTCGGAGGTTCCATTGTAATACTAAAGGCAAAGGTGAAGGGAATCTATTTTAACACTTACGTTGACTTGATTGATGTCAGGCAGAAAGACACATTTCTCTGCGTATTCTGCTTCATTCAGTGGATCTTGCCAGTATTCAGCCTGCACCAGACTGAGGCAGGAGAGAGAGAGAGAGGCGAGAAGAAGAAGGAGAGAGAAGGAAGTGGGAAAGAAGGAGAAAAAAAGGAAAAAAGGGTGGAGGAAGGAAGAAAAGAAAAATATTTGGAAGTGTAGAAAGACAGACTAACAAGCTTTGGACAAAGCTGTTGTAGACTCCAATATTCAACAGGCGACGGACTTCGTCACAGGTTGTCGAGTTGTCGCCGGGGCAACGGGGAAAACCAAACACTCCCTGGTGTTGTCCGCCGACTGAGATGAGGTTGCGGACTTTGACCTTGTCACACCGCTGGACCAGAGCTCGCCTGACAAGAGAGGAGAGAGGAGAGAGAGAGAGGAGAGAGCGGGAGGTTAGCTATTCAGATTATAGCTAACCTTCGAGTGAGAAAACTAGCAGCGAGCGTGAATTTGGAACGAGAAAACTAACGCAGATTGTCGACAATACTTTGCAGGTAAACCTTTCAGGCAGCTATATAATAAACCGGAAATCTGCAAAACGCTTCTCCCTTTTGCGGTATATAGTGACATCATTGCAGTTGGTTTAACAAAAACGAGGAGAAGAAGAAGAGACAAAGACACACTTACAGGAACTGTCCTCCCTGGGAGAAGCCCATAGCGTTGAAGCCATTGGCCAGGTTGGCATCGTCTGCCAGCATGTCACACACCTCCGATATCTGCAGGGACACACAAGGACCAACTTTCACAAGGACTTGCCTCAGGTCGGCCAAGTTGGCATAGCCTGGCTACATAGCTATCTTTGTAATTGGTCTTTCAGAAATAGTACAGTGGAACCTCTGAACAAGGGACACTATGGGGCCAACGATTTTGTCCTTTGTAGAGCCCACTGCACATAGGACAGCTGTGTGTCTTTTTATTCAGGCATCTCTTAGTGTAATACACTATTTACTGGTATGGGGTAGAAATATAGCGTCCTTTATAGAGAGGTGTCCGTTATTTGGAGGGTCCGGCTTCAGATGTTCCACAGTACGATATTATACTAACCTGATCATTGCTGTTCTTGAAGAAACCGTTGAGCATGTCTTCAACAACATCCTTCCCGATCTTGATGGAGTGGATGTAGATACCTGGAACATCCTTCTTGATGAGATCCATTAGCCGCCCCAGACTCAGTGGGTTGCAGCACGAGTCACCTGGTGTTTGGAGAAGGGAGGGAGGGAGGGGAGGTTTTATCAGCATAAAGTAGTGTGCTGTGTGGGCCTAGTCTCGCAGTGCCAGCCCCTCTCCTTCTTTAGGGAGGAGCTGGCTCCGCGAGACTACGTCTCTAGCCAGCAAGCTACAAACATTTCGTATTTGTAGTAGCGCGCGAACGTATGCTTTTCGCGGAACGCTGCAATAGCTACAAATGTCGTCCCTTACCCATTCCGTGCCAGAGGACGAGAGGGGTGACGCCCTGAGCAAAGTTGCGGGTCAAGAGCGCGACGCTCAACACAAGCAACACCCTAATCCCTTCCATAGCTCCTGCACAGGTCGAGAGATCGCTTACGACTGTCACGTGATGCGACCTCTGACCCCCGCCCGGCCCGGCCCCCTCGATCGATCGACAGTTGTATCTGCGCATGCGCACATAAAGAAGCAAACCCACTGGTACTATGTACACTGATAGAGAACATGAATGATACAATAATAATATTCACATCTAAACAAGCTATATATTACTAGGATGATAACTGGAAAAAGAGTTACAATAGTTGACTACTGAAGAATGGTCCAAAGGTTACAGGCTAGGAATGCATCACCATGGCAACAATCAAGTGGGAGGTTCCAGGACAACCCAATCATCTGTATCTGGAGACTCCGCCCCTTTCACTCCCATGGTTTCCTCGTCACTCGGACCTCTCGCTGGGCCAGAGTCCATGGTTACCGTCGCCGACGGAAACACGACATTATCGGTGGGAGTAGTGTGGGTTGATTGGGTTTCTGTGTGTGTTGCTAGGGAACTGTTGTTGCTAGTGGCGACGGAGGTGGTGGTGGTTTGCAGCGACGTAATGTCTTCGGAGCTGCTGGAGCTTGTGCAGGCTGCGGCAAAGAGATGGTTGAAGTTGAAAAACAAGTTACAGTGTATAAACATTTCACTACATACAACATTTTCCGAGTTTTTAAAAGGGAGTAGAAAGATGCAGTAGAAGTAAAAATTTTGCAACAAACAACTTTTGCAATAATATTGTACCACCAACACATGGCGAATAAGCTAAAACATATATACCTGCTTCTCTTATGGCCTTTTCGAGGTCACTCGTGTTGCTATGGGCAACCGGTCCCTCGCTCGCATCTTCGGCTGATGAAGCAGCAACAGCGGTGGGCGTGGCTTCTTCAGTTACGGTTGCGGTACCTACTGAGCAGAGAGATTTTGTGATGATGTCATCTGAAAGAACAACGGTACGATAGATACCTGTGTTAGGGAGGTTCCACCTCTTAGCCCCGCCCACTCGCTCTCTCCTCACCCTCCCCCCTTCCTCGGTCTTCTGCGGAGATTTACGTCCCAAACCCTTCTCTCCCTCCTTCTCTTTAGACTTTTCTTCCGTTGTGGTCGCCATTTCCGTAGTGGTCGTCATTTCTGAGGTCGACGTCGTTTTTTGCTGACTCAACACTCTCTTCTTCTCTTTCTGTTTGAGGGCTCGCAGTTGTTGCCGTGACAACTGTGTATGCCACTTCCCTGTGTATAAAAAAGATTATTTTCCCCTCTTTCGCAATAAACAAGCTCTAAAGAGTGCCTTATATGTACGTAGGGACAGCGAAATAGAGAAGCGATAGGGACAGTAAGACAGGACGAGATAGGAATAAGAAGAGCGAGATAGCGTGGAGTAATGGATGGTCCCAACGGCATGTTTTGCTCGGGGGGAGTATTTTCAGGGTGAGGGAGTGGGAATGGTGGAATGGTGGAATGGTGGAATGGTGGAATGCACACTAAAATCCCACTCGATGTTTACCGACCCACAAGTCATGTGATGTGTCACATGAATCGGATGCCTCAGATGCATGCAATAGTTTTCCAGGAATAGCATCACGCTCCTTAGCTAACGCTCTAAGGGGCATAGTGTAAGGACATACATACGTAAAAGCATGAACTAATACACTAGCTAGCGAGCTAGCAAAAGTTCATGATATCTACGGATATACATTCAGCAGCTCTGCTATATACGGTTTACTAAAGACACAATGCACGTGGTGGGGAGATGTGTGTATGTATGTAATGGGTTTCGAAGGACGTGTTCGGAAAACAAATGTTTCAACTTCAAGATGCACACACAAACACAACCAAGCATTCCCCATTTGTTTTGGGTTATGTACAAACAAAAATAAACATTGCCTCTCCGTGTCGGTACTCGGGAAATATAGAACACTTCGGGTGCAACGAAAATCTCAATGTTTTGTTTACAGAGGGAATTTTAAAGCAGAACTCCTCAAAAAGTAGGGTGTGCTTTAAATAGGGGATCCACTTACAATAAGGGGTCATATTTGGGATACAATTCCGCTCCCTGAACTCACCGTCACCCCTCTCTCCCTCCTCTCCACTTCCTGAGCTGACAACTCTCTCTGAGTTTCCCCTCTCTCTCAGGCTCCCCCTTCCGCCTCCCTTTCCGCCTCGTCTTCTTCCAATTCCAGGGGCATCCTCCCTGCAACCAACGCCGCTGGTGCCTTGGGGGTATCAGATTCGGATGTCGTTTCTGCGGAAGCGACAGGGTCTCCCCCTTCAATTTCGGTGGCTTTGGATACGACAGGCGTTTCGTCTTCTGGTTTCGTTATTGCCGTGACGGCAGGGATTTCCCCTCTCTCTTCTTCGGTTGTTTTCGCGGTAGATGAAACGTTTTTAGAAACAGCTGCTTTCGAACGATCTTTTTTCTTCTTCTTGGAAACAGGTGCAGCACTCGTATCTCTCCCCGTTTCCACCGACGACGTCGTAACGACAGGGGCGGGCTCTTTTTTACCCCTCGGCGATTTCGAAGTCACGAGCTTGAATTCCCCACCCTCTTCATCACCAGGTGCCAAAGACTTGTCTGTGACCGTTTCTCCGGTTACGGCTGCTGTTTTAGGCACCTGTTTCTTAGACTGCTGTGTGGGCGGAGTCTTTCTCTCTCCTCCCCCTCTCCCCTCCCCCTCCTCCCTCCCACTCTCCGTTCCGCTGCCAGATGGGGTGACAGTCTCGGGACTCGGTTTCTTTTTCCTGGGACTTTGCGATGCTCTCGGACTACTCTCGTTTCCCTGGACACACACAACGACAAACAAATATGCAGAATGCTAGCGGTCAAGGGTGTAATTTGAGATTTACAAGTATTTAGTATTAGAGTATGGACAGCATCGTCTATATACATTGAATGAGAAAATCGACGGAAAACAAATGAATTTCCTAGATATCACATCTCGGTATTTCGCAGATAACCCTCAAACTGCTTATATGTATAGACATTTTCCCATTGAAACCTCATAAGCTATACACTTTGTGGCCCTAAAGAACAACTCGCTAATTGGAACAATTTTCACAATCTACTGGTGCTGCAGATAAAAGCCACTCCAAAGGACTAGCCACAGCCTCATTATAGAGAGCCGGAGATTGCTCCAATTAACTACAAGGTATACATAAATGCTCCTTGAGCCGCATTAGCCAGCAACATAACAAGCCAATTGCTAACGACAGTCTTACATCATCTGAGAGAGAGAGAGAGAGAGCAAACGCATGCAGCTTTTCTCCTTGTTTCTCTTCTTTCTTATAAATTCTTCTTCAATGCCATGGCTACCGTCGCTTCAGTTGTAGTCACCACAAGTGGCAATAGTACAACATCAGCAAACGCCCCCCAGCGAGTGTGAGCGCAGCGTAAACAGAGCGTACAACTACTCACCGTCTTTCCTTTCCCTCTCCCCTTCTTCCCTTCCCTCCTCTCTCCACCAGCAGGCGAGCTAGGCGCTACTGCGCTCTCACTCAGAAGTTCCTCCAGCCGCTCGTACTCGCGAGACGAGGGATTCGCGAACGCCACGTACAGCCAGAGAGATCCCAGAGCAACGACGAAGAGCGCCACACACGCAGTAGTGGCGTCCAGTCTCCACAACATTGAGAAAACTACACCCATCTTTATCCGCGACCGTCTTCTCTTTGTTTGGCGCACAATACTCCGAGTACGCGCGCCCCAGCCGTGACCACACCCACTTCGATTAGTTTTAAACGCCCATGCGTACGAATACGCGCATGCGCACTTTGAACAACGATACTCAATGCATGTATATATTAGGAGTCCGAAAGAGTGCAGTAAAACTAAAATGTAAGCCTAAAAGTTTTCTTCTACGCACCCAAACACAGTTTTCTGGTCATAATTGATGCCTGCAGGTAGAGAATGAGCAGAGGTATTATAAGAACAAAGTTTCACCACAATTACTGTATATATATATATATATACACAGCTTGCATTTTACACAGTATAATTACTCACTGAGGCCCTTCACGAAGCCCACGAGGTTCTTGTAGTTCTGTCCCGCGTCACAGTATGCACCGTAGATACGGGAGATGGAGAATGCCTGTAGTCATGGACAGAAACCTTTGTCAAGTCTTATATAGCAAGAGAGTGGACAAAATAGTTCAGATTGTTCTTGTCTCTCTCCCTCCCTCCCTCCTTCTCTCTCCCTCCCTCCCTCCCTCCCTCTCTCCCTCCCTCTCTAGTCTCCACTCACCTGGACATAAGTATCGCTGGTGCTATTAGACAGCAGTAGAAAGTTGAGCGTGTCGTTGTAGTGATGGGTGTGGGTGGTATGCATGGCCTGCATCAGAAACTGGGCACCGGACTTTATGTGGAACGACCTCAGGTCTGAACTGTTGATGAATGTATAGCGTCCGTCATCACCACCTGAAAAAGATTTAACACACTCTAAAACTAGAAAAACATTTTTAAAGGGGAATGTGGCAATATGAGACAGAACTCAACTGCATTCTTTTACTGTGCCCCTATTGGTTTGTTCTAGCTTGCCACATTCCCTTTAAATACATACTTATGTAATAGAAATTGAGATCAAGTATATACATACCTGCCTTCAGGCCTTTCTCGAGCGTAGCCTGTGCATCTACTGGACTCATTGCTGCAATAAATACAGTCACATGGAGATCATCAGCTATACATTGAACGGATGCAACAAATTGTATGTAGGCAATCATGGTAACCTGTGCGCTGGCGCATTGTCACAACAACCGGATTTGTTGCTAGGACTGCAGGTTTCTCTACAGAACGTTCTCATAGAAGAAATCAGTGTTAGACCTGCCCCCCACCGAGAGTTAATTAACTCAAAGGTAAAGTATTCCAATTTTGTGTGGTGAATAATAATAATTTATTCATTAGATCACACGCCATAATAATGTTATATACATCGACTTACCAAACTTGAACTCAATGGCACAGCAGGCATTGCCTGAAGGAGAAAAATGCAGCTCAAATTTTTACGTCATTCTAGGTGTAACAGGCGCGTCATATAACGAGCCCCTCCCCCATCGAGCTTTCCGCACATGCGTAATGCGCACCCACAACTACTTACTTCTCGTTCCCACCAAAGCAACGACCAACAGTAAGCACTCTTCCAGTGTGTATTTTACGGTCCCTGTCGCCCACTATAGGTAATTGTCCTCTAGCTATATATATATACACACGCTAACCGACAACTGCGTGCGCGAAGTACAGGTCCAGGCAATGATACGGGTATACGTACCGCAAGTTCCACAGTCGGGATGGTCGCAGTCGGGAGGCTGGCACGAATAGGCTAGTGCAGCTAGTCCCAGCAAGAGGCAAACCACAGAAAATCGAGACATCTTCATCAACTCGACGACTCCAGCAGTCTTCCCAAGTAAAGTCCCGTGACTCTCGCGGGGACAATAATGCGCATGCGCAACCATATAGAAAATCCTTTGCCCGCCAAATAGTGTGTATATACACGCAGCAGCTTTCATAATACACATATTTATGCCAACAACCCCAGCTTCTCAAGAAAATGATTTTAATATTATTATCAACACGTTCAGCTAGCTACTGCTAAAAGTAGTCTCTGAGACCTGTGTGTCAGTAAATATATTGTCAGAGGGTTCTCTATAATTAGTAACGGTGACCACGCCCCCATTGTGGGTGGGGTTGTAAGGAGTAGTCTTTGTCTGTGTTGACACTGCAGTGAAGAGTGTGTTCTGGGATGACGTCTTTCTGCAGAAGTAAAAAAAATTTTACAAGAATATGATAGTAGTACATCGGACACAGGTAAATTAATGCAGACAAACGCAGTTAGAAGTGAGGTGTCCTTATTGCATACAAGAGCTTCTTGGGAGAGAAAAGGTGTCCTTATTAGAGAGGTGTCCTTATTTCAGGGGTTGAATTGCATGCAAGAACTGTTCTTGGGGGAAGAAAAGGTGCCCTTATTAGAGAGGTGTCCTCATTTCAGGGGTGTCCTCATTTTCAAGGGTGTCCTTAGAGAGTTGTTCCACCGTATTTGAAAAACACAAACAAACAAACAAACAAACAAACAAGAAAAACAACAACACACCTCCTTAGCTCCAGCTGTTTCCTCGTCCTCTCCACACTCTCCTCCGATAGGGGATAGTGGTGGAGACAGAACAGACCAATCAAAATGAAGATAATCGGTGGCACTGTCACCAGGAGCTTAAGGGTTAACGGAACCGTCCACGGCTGGTCGCACTTCGTCTCGTCGTACCCTCCGGCCCTGCGGAGAGAGGGAAGGGTTAATGATGTAAACATTACATCACTGTGTAAAAGATTTGTGTCTGAATATCGCAGGCATCCACCATCCATAAACTGACTTGTATATGCCAGTGGAGAGTCCAAGGGTCACGCCACTGGAGAATTTGGTACCGAATACGAAGAATGCATAGAATAGTTCCTCTCTTCTCACACCCATCTTCAGGTAGGCTTCGTCTATTACATCTGGTAACATTGACCTAGAGGGGGGGGAAGTAAAAAATATAGAAAGAGACAGAGAGTAAGGGAAGCGAGAGAGAGGAGAAAGAAGGAAAGAGGTTTTGAGACATTTGAAGAATTCTCTGAAAAGAAGCAGACATTATTTGCTCACCATGGAAACAGGTATCCGGCGGCAACGCCAGCCCCACCAATGACGGAGAGCGTAAAAGCGAGAAAGACTCCCCAATCTCCGGCGAAATCGATAAACAGGAGCGACAGAAGAGTCACCATGAAGATCCACAGCCCGGCCGTAAGTGCCGCTTTCTTTCCAATCTTTCGCATCACCACTTGCCACAGGGGCATCCAAACAATGGTAGCCATTAGCAACACTGCGATGACGTAAGGGTACATGTCTTCCAGGTCCAGTGCGTACTTTATGTAGAGGGCGTAGTTGCCTTGTACGAAGGTGATCCCGAGCCAGCCGAAGAGTTGGGTGAGGAAGAGGAGGAGGTACGGACGGAACGTGAAGACGATTCGGATTCCAGCAAACAGGCCGATTTTGGAACTGTACATCCCTGGAGTGAGGGTGGGAGGGTGGGAGGGAGGGAGGGAGAGGAAAAAAGGAAGAAAGAAAGAAAAAAAGGATAAAAAAGGAGGCGACATATGTCTACAGCTAAATTTTTTTAGTTTGACCAGAAAATTTTAAGAAAGGTATTACTATGTATGTTGACTATAAGTAAAAATAAAAGTGAAAGAGACAAGGAAAGAGGGGCGAACATTAAAGAAAACACAATCTATATAATATATACCTTTTTGTTCTCTGATGGTAACCAAGGTGGTGGTGACGAAAACCACTGTGAGGATGGCGAGAGTGACGGCATGGTAACGATAGGTCCTCTCCAGATCAATGTCTCGTTCCCTGACTCCACTGTCACATGACGACTCCTTCTTACTGGGGTAAACAACAACAACAACAACAACAACAATCTTCTTTCCTCGCAATAAAACAGCAACAAACACCTTACATACAAGAACCCTTCAAACAGGGCCCTAATTGAGCAAAAAGCTTTTGAGCTGAAATTGCAAACCTACCTCTATTCTGGGGTAATAGAGTATGGGGCAGTACCACAGTGTCCTTTATAGAACAAAGGCCTATTTATTCAGAGGGTCCTTTTGTCTTACACTAGCTTTGTCTTATAGCATATACACTAGGCATCATGTATACCAAGTGTCCCTTATAAAGACCTTTATTGATAGATTTGTAGTACACTAGGTGTGGTGATATCTCATACTATACCTACCCCTTTACAAAGCCGGAGAAGTAAGCAGTGTAGACACCAATCCCGACCAGTGTCCCGAGGACCTCGAATAACATTCTGTATAGAGTCGCAGAGTCTCTTTCCTTGTTTGAGTTACTGAGATGCATGGTGAGAGAAGTGTAGGGCACGTGGATACACTGGAAGAGAGGGAGGGGGAGAGAGAGAGAGAGAGAGAGAGGGAAAGAAGTGAGCGAGGAAGAAGAGAGATAAAACAGAGAGACTAATTACGTTAAGAGACTTTTTGCTACCAGCTCAAAAGGAGTCACGAGCACCGGATTTTTTAAACAGAAAATACTGCATTTCACGGGGCGAAATGAGTGAGTATTATACTTGGGATGAAATACTCAAATCGGAAACCATGAAAGATTTTCGCTGGCAGCCACATTCAAATTATCCACAAAACCTTCCGTTGTACGGTATATACTCACAGTGAGGAGCAGCTGGAAGGCAAAGTAGAAGAGGATGTAGTAGATGAATTTGAGGTATGACGCGGTTTCGGTGAACGATGGCGGTACAAACCACAGCATTATGTAGGCCAGTCCAGTCGGTACCATGGCACCTAGTAGCCTGGGGAGGGGTGAGGGGGAGGATAAATGAAAAGACAATGATAGAGAAGAGGCGAAAAATCGAGGGGAAAGTTGTATAATTATACAGAACGCGCTAGTGCTACTTTTTTCAAGTATAAGAGCTTGTTGGGACAGAAATACGACGAGTTAAGAGATTTTTACCTGTCAATCAATCATTGAACCGTTGCGCGATTTTTTAAAGCTATAATTGCTTACATGAGGGTGTTTTTTTTAATAAGAGAGAGAGGAGCAATGTGTTGTGGGGGGAACAGCGAAATTTGGGCAAGATGGGAATAGGTGCAGCGAGATGAAGGATGTTACAATTCCATACTCCAACTGTAGTCAGAGCATTTAGGATATTTAGTTTGTCTCTTCTTACTCTACTGTTCTTACAAGAAATGCAAAATCGTTGCAGTAAAAAAGATTTTAGTTGTGGAGAACTCTCACCAAGGTCTTAGTCGACCGAGAGGTGTCCTGGTTCGATTGCAGAGGAATCCAATGGTTGGGTCGGTCAGTGCATCCCAGACTCTCCCTGCGAACACTATCAGTAGCACATAGACTGGGTCCAGCTGGGAGAGAGAGAGAGAGAGAGAGAGAGAGATTCATCCACGAATGGTTGAATAGCTTCACGTGACACTCGTAATAATAATAATACTCAGGTGGCTGCCATAGCACTAGGGCCATAGACCACGCACCCAGAGCGTAACACTCGTAAAACATACTATTACTTCTGTATGTTACTACGAAAGTACAGCAAATTACGGAAATTCGTACATAATTTATGAGGTTAACACAGATGCTGCATAAGGCAACTTGGCAGCTGTTGTTGTTTCAACTCACAATGGCCACCTCAAGAAGGAAGATGTTGAGGTAGAATCCAACGACCGTGTTACACATGGCATACGGCATCGCTCCAACTGCATACGTCAGTTTCTTCCACACTGGGATCTTATCCTGGTCCGCGGGACTGAACACCAGCTGATGACAGAGAGGGAGGGAGCAGACAGACAATATCAGCACCCCTGACAACATTAATCCCCGTACAAACTGTCATAATGGTGTATGGGTTAACTTGTATATATGCACCCCTTAACCCTAAACACCCAATTCACCCCTGCTAAAGAAAATTCTAGAAAAATTCAGATATCCCTGAGAATGGTGTATGTATGTACAATTCACCTTTGTGCCCCGCTAAAGAAAATTCTAGAAAATTCTAGAAAATGAAAAGAGAATTGGTGTAGCTATGAGACCTTTGCGTTGTCTTTGCTGGAGGCAGTACTGCGAGATGAGTCCAGCAGACGAGGCGGTGGTGAGGGAGACTGATCCAGGAGAGGACTTGACTCAGTCGACTGTGCCATTCCTCTCTCTCTCTCTTTCCAGCCTCACGAAGGAAATGCGGGCCCAGCACACTGACAATAGACTCCTTTGTAACGTAGCTACGCCACAGGACGGTAAACGGCGTGCGGAGCAGGGCAGTTACGTAAGTAGTGGAGGCTCGGACGTTCTTTGCAAACTCCGCTCGTCCCAGGAGACTTCGTGGATAAAACGGCCGGCCTTTGTCAGCCGGAGACGGAAGTTTCAACGAGACGGCTAGCTGGACTCCTCAAAGCTAGCTCTGCGACGCTGGATCCCTTGACCAGTCCAACGTATAATATACAAAGACTAGACACGGTCGTCACGCGCCTCCTAGCCGCGCCCACTCTCACCCGCTGCTGTTTTTACGCATGCGCATTCTGGATCGCACATGCGTATATCGACGACTGCACATTCGCCCTGGCCTCGATCTCACCCTCGATACACTGCACAGAGACCAAGGAAGGTGAGTAAGATCGATCTCGGTGTATAATACCGTCTGAGTTTTTGTTGTACTATCTATTGGACCCATGGTACACGGTGCGTGTAACAATATGACTGTCTATGCCTGCAATAAAAAGACACAAGACCTCCAAGAGGAAAGATTAGAGTGTACTTTGAACCTCCCCTCCCTCCCTCTTTCCTCCCAGAATGCTGAGACAGGCGGCGAGAAAGCTGGCTCCCTCTCTCTCCCGGAGACCATGGAGACCTCTACTGGCCGTCAGTCATCTCTCCACCTCATCTCCCGCCAGAGGCGAATACGAGTTCATCATCTCTGAGAAGAGAGGGGAGGGGGGTTGTGTTGGACTTGTCACCCTCAATAGGTATACAACAGTAGAACCTCCGATAAAGGAACACTCCGAATAAGGACATAATAGAAAACACCTCTCAATAAAGGACACACTTAGAGGTCTCAAACGCTATCATTCTGGTACAAGTTTTAACCCTTTGCACGCCATGGGTATCTGCTTAAATAAGAAGAAATTGATGTATAAAGTATTAGCAGGCTCTGGACACATTTATGTGTCCGTGGCTGGTTAAGTGTTAACTAAAAAGGATGCTCTACAGCTTTGATAACTTCTCCTGTCTTTCCATTCTCCCAGACGCAAGGCTCTGAATGCCCTCTGCGACGGTCTGATGTCTGAGCTACGAGAGGCTCTGGCTACCTTCGACAGTGATCCAGGAGTCGGGGCAATGGTTCTGACGGGCAGCGAGAAGGCCTTCGCGGCAGGAGCCGACATTGCTGAGATGCAACCTCTCACCTTCCAGTCCTGCTACAGCCAACAGTTCCTCGGTCAGTTTCCATAGCAATTTTTCCCGGTTGCATAAACTTCTAACACTTTTAAGTCAACGAAAAAAGGCAGCAATTAATCTTGTTAACAAGTTTTTTGCTCTCTCAATTTTGTTAAGTAAATTTGTTAATTACCATGCCTGTGTCATTGGTTTTTGCTTTTTTCTTTGTCTCATGTCCAGCCGTCCCCTTGAGAACAGTCAGGGTATGATTGTGCATTCCTCCCTGGTCTCCTAGGTAACTGGGATGCGATATCCAGGATCACAAAGCCAGTGATAGCGGCTGTCAATGGATATGCTCTGGGAGGCGGCTGCGAGGTTGCCATGGTGTGTGACATCATCTACGCCGGTGAGATATTTCACTAAAGAGTGTCCTTACTTCAGGGGTTAAATTCTATAGGGAGATAAAAGGTGTCCTTATTAGAGAGGCTAAAAGTGTCCTTAGAGAGGTATATATACACAATAGACACACTGTGAGGTCCCAAGACTATTATTTAACCCCCAAAAAGAGGACCACCTTCCTATATAAGAGTAAATGGTTGGTCACATTCTCCCCTCTCTCCACATTGTCTTGTCAGGGGAGAAGGCGCAGTTTGGCCAGCCGGAGATCGCCCTAGGAACACTTCCTGGTGGAGGTGGCACTCAGAGACTCATCAGAGCCATTGGGAAGAGCCGCGCCATGGAGATGATCGTCACCGTTGGGTAATTAGGGGCGTGGTCAGTGGGCGGGGCCAACACACCACTTGCTGTGTGTGTTAATGATTCTCTCTCTCTCTCTGCCTCCCTCCCTCCATCCCTCCCTCCCTCTCTCTCTCTCTCTCTCTCTCTGCAGGAGAGAGGATGTCGGCTCAAGAGGCACTCTCGCTAGGACTAATCAGCAAGGTCTTCCCCACAGAATCCTCGTCGACGCAGCCATACAGCTCGAGAGCGTATATCTCGTCTTCTCCAAGATCGCTGTGGCAATGTGCAAGGAGGCGGTCAATGCCGCAGAACAGCTGCCTCTCAATGAAGGTGTTCATCGTAAAATTTATTGTGCCTAAGCATGTGCTCTCTCTCTCTCTCTCTCTGTCTCTCTCTCTCTCTCTCTCTCTCTTCTCTCTCTCTCTCTCTCTCTCTCTCTCTCTCTGTCTCGCGCAGGATTGAAGTACGAAAAGAAGTTGTTCTACTCTTCATTTGCCACTGATGACAGGAGAGAGGGGATGACTACCTTCCTAGAGAAGAGAAAGCCACAATGGAACGACTGTTGAACTTAAATGTGTGCAGTACTGGCAATACGTTTACCAATGCAGTAAGTGGCTACATATAAGAATGTTGGGTCTGGTGATCCTAGATTGAAGCTCGGAATCGCTCGCTATGACGCTGTGATTAAACTCCACTCCGCGTTGTGTGATCTTGTCTGAACACACACTTCTTTTTATTTAGTGCGACTCTTGCAGTTTTTGCAAGATGATGAGGCAGCAGTCGGTGTGACACGTGCGGTGGACCCACACCTGTGCTCATGCGCAATGGCTTCGCGCGCTAACCAAGTTTTTGGGGTGTGTTACCCGAGAGTAAAGATGGCGGCCGAGGACGTTCTGAAACAGTATCCTACTTTGAAACAGTTCGTCCTCTCCAACGTGCGACTCACTGGCATCAGAATCGGCGCCGGAGCCTACGCCAGCGTGGAGGAGGTGGCCGTGCCTGGAGCCATCTGCGCCGCCAAAAAGATCCACGAATTCTTCCTAGATGGCGAGATTCGTATCGAGGTGACCACCGAGAATTTTTTGGAGGAATGTCAGCTGATGAGCACCCTCCGCCACCCGAACATCGTCCAATTTCTGGGCGTCGCTATCTTTCCCGGCTCGCGACTGCCAGCCATCGTCATGGAACGACTGCTGACAAGTCTTCACGACTTGCTCGAACCCCAGCGGCCCCCGCCTCGTTCGTCCAAGCCATTTATTCCTTTAAGTCTGAAGTGTTCCATCCTGCATGACGTAGCGTGCGGCCTGGCATACCTCCACAAGCGATCTGTTGTCCACCGCGACTTGACAGCTAATAACGTTCTCCTGAACTCGGGGATGGTAGCCAAGATAGCGGATCTTGGAGTTGCACGTATACTCCCTGATTTGGCTCCAGCCACCCTAACCTTTGCACCTGGAGCTAGCGTGTACATGCCTCCAGAGGCTCTAGAAAGCAAGCCTGGAGAGGAAAATGAAGGCAGAATGTCGAAGTACGATGCAAGTATCGACATCTTTTCGTTTGGTGTTGTAGCCATGTTTACCATCAGCCAAACATTTCCCGATAAATTGCTAGCTCCAACCTACACGAAAGATGGAGAGAATCCTGTAGGTAGAAGTGAACTAGAGCGACGACAGGAGTACATGACAATAGTTAACAGCCAGCTAGAAGGAAAGCATCCTCTCTTAGTAGAGATAATCGAGAAGTGCCTTGACTTTCCAGGTAAACGGCCAGATGTTAAAAAGGTTCTGGATCTGTTGGTGGAGGCCAGAAAAGAAGTACAAGATGAACAGATAAGCAAGAACAAGCTGGATCTAGTCCAAGCTCTTCGTGAAGCACACATCAGCCACCAGGTAAGGAGCCGTTTATAATAATTATTGAGTTATTGTGAGTCCAAGAAGCATTCTGGGAATGTGGATAGATGTAGCAACCTATATATCATAACAATGCTCCCTCTGTGTAGTAGGTGCTTTTTACATGCAACTTAATATCCTATCCTAGTTTTAATCTGCCATGCAAAAGTGGCTGTATGTGGCGTGTGGGTACGAGCCAACCTAGTTGAAGAATTTCTATGAAAAAGCTGATAAAACTCCTTTTGTTTCGAGGGCCAGGGCTAGGGACAAGGCTATTCGTAATACCTTGAGTTAGTAAATATCATTGTTTTGACATTATGATTATGAACTTTGCGAACTAATGACCTTGCAGGAAAATGAAAAGCAGCTACAGTCCAGTCTGAAGGAGCAAGAAGCACTCAAAGAAAAGAATGAAAAGTCACTCGAGACTATCAGGGAGAAGAGGCAGCAGATTCTAGAGGTTAGTCTGGTGTGTATTAGTATGTTTTGAGCATCAAGACACCTTCCTGAATGTAGGAAAATCAGTTGGTGCAGAACAAGGACAGAGAACTGACTGAGACTCTGGAAAAGCTGAGGCAGAAGGTATATGGTATTGATAGCTGCAGTCTAAAACCCAGCAATTATTAATGCAAAAGGTTCATGTTTTTTTTATGAAGTCATGATGCGATTGCCATTGCCTTTCTGCAGGAGGAACAGTTACAAACAAGTGAGAGAGAAAAACAGAGAGTCCAATACAGCAGTTGACAGAAAGTGATCGTTTTTTGCTCTATAGCTTGTCTTATAACACTCCCTCTTGGTGGGTTACTTCCAGGTGAGCCAGAAGCTGGCCGAGAACATGAATAGCAGAGTGGTGTGATGAGAAAGGAGCAGGTGGTTGGCGAGATTTTTTCGCTCGGTGGCGTCGACGATGGAGCAGATGTGGTGACGAGAAATACACGCAGAGGTGACATCGAATAGAAAGGAGGCATGATGTGTGGCGAGAGCGGAAGGAATGGATGGCAGATTTCGGGTGCAGAGTGGCAGACGGAGGATGCTACTCAGGAGAGAGCAGCAAGCAGATCTCAGGAGATCAGGAGATGAGACAGAGAGTTAGTCTAGTGTGTGGAGTTGTGTAGGTGACTAGAAGACAGTCCTCCTGACTGCATGCATGGAGAACTGAGTTTAGTGCAGGCCAAGGCCAGGGAGTACAGCTCTGTTGTCGGTAGGTTAAGTAGAATATTGGACTCTGTGAAATCACACCTAGGTCGCTGCTATTGCGAGGAGTGACGCTTATGTCCGGCAGACAGAGATAAAATGTGATGCACATCACACAGGTAGTGGTATAACTTTATTTAAGCTATGCTTTGTTTGGTGTCATGCAGTCAGGATAGGAATAACGTGCTAATGGTGCAGGAGAAGAACAAGTGCGCTTCGTGGGCATTTCTCTTGGTTTTTGTTTCTGTTTTTAGAGACCTGTCTTCAGCAGTGTCCTGAAGTCCGGCAAAGTATGGACATGAAGATGTTAGATGGGGTTTCTATGCATTTCCCTTACCTGCAGAGATACAACTAAAGATATTTGCGTTTTCACTTTTTCATCCCATATCTCTTGCTCTCTCTGCCATGTACTTCTTTTGCATCAACCCAGTAATCAGGTAATGTTTACAATAGAAAAATCATTTCTTCAAAATGAAAGGGGATATAGGTATGCTTGGAAGCCAACCAAAAAGGAAGAACCAGGGGTCATTAACACGCAAGTTTGCGCACAGCTACATTACACCATTCCTAATCTTTGTTTTATTGTTTATAGTTTATAACAACGTTTAATATCGACCAAAGATATAGGGATTGTGTCATGTAGCTTTGTGCAACTTGCTTGTAATGACCCCTTGTGTCTTCCTTTTTGTGCATTCAAGCCATCCCCTATATCCCCTCTTTCATTTTTGAAGAAATGATTTTTCCACTTGTTTCCACGATTTTTAACAGCTTAGACAACACTGTATTTAGTTTAGAGTTACTCTGAGTTTGCTGTAAGATGCTACCATAGACAGATTGGTACTGTTAAAAGTAGTAGCCTAATGGGGCCTGCTTGGCCGAAGCAGGTGCTAGATACCGCATTCACCTCATGTATTGTTCTTCAACAGGTGGTATTAGAGTTATTAGCAACATGGTTGTGGTTTCATGTTCCGGCTTTGGTAATCATCACCAACCTGGGGACAACAATGAAGACCCATTTGAACTGACGCCCCGCAAGGCTCGCGGAGCGACACACCGCGCAGACTCTGGTAAGTTGCTCTTCGTGCAAATCAACAGCAAGCTAGCCAGTTGGAAATGTGCACACTTACTTACAGAAGGTACTGGAGGCTGAGAGTTCCTCTGCAGATCTGCCAACTCCCCTGGTCGAAAGCGCATTGGACAACGCCCCTGCCTTGCGCATGCGCGCGGCTCACTGATGCTGAGTTAGCAGCAAATGGCGTTGTTCAGTGTCGACCATGGTAGAGCTCCATGATTTACCGTAGTGACTAGCGGCAAGAAAGAAACGATCGCTTGATGTTCGTGCACACCTCCGGCGAAATTGGAGACCTTCAGTGAAAAAATCAGTGCTCGAACTGGTACTGTTAAGGAGATAGCGGGTTTAAAGAAGAAGAAGAATATGATGACACGAAAATCGTGAAATCGTGTATGAGCGGATTCTCCCGTGGACGACTGAAGGTGCGTATGAGGCCTTGGGGGACATGTATAGGTAGATATGGGCCCGTAGACTATTGCTAGTATGTTTTGAAGGCCTAGGGAGTGATTCTCACCGAGTTTTTAGTCGTTTTGTACGCGGATCACGTGAGATTTCACCTGCGTCATCCCTATATAGAGAGTCTACTGACTCTCTAATACCACAAAGCAACTTGAATAGATGCACTAAGATTAAGGGGTAGTATACTATGGGTAAGGCAACTTCTCCTACTTTCACTGTCCTCGTCAACACGTGTCCTGTATATACACAATGTGTGCATGCTCCATGAGTAGACTGACCCAAGAAACTGTGAGTGACTTTTTCATAGAAAGGATAGCAGATTTAGAAGATGAGAAAGCAAACTAATCTAAGTGGCATTGTGTGTTGTGACTAGAGGTCCTCCTGACGGCAGGAGACTGAGTTAGTGCAGGCCAAGGATAGGGAGATAGCTCTGCTTCACCAGCAACTGGGGGAGGTACGCTATGAATATTAACTCATAATCACAGACTATGAATATCTTCAGGAATGTCTGTAGCTATATTAGTGGTATTGTAGCTACAGATACTAGTAGTATTGTGTGTATACTCTTATTAATCACCACCATAATTATTATTCCCCATTTCTCCCTTTCATTTCTCTCTCCCTTTCTCTCTGTCCCAGCAGTCACCGTCCTACACATGTCAGGTCAGTGGACCTGGTCTAACATCAGCCACAGTCAACCAACAACACACGTCCTAGTCCAACTAACTGACTCTAGTGGTAGACCATACTCACTTCCACTGAATGTCACCGCACAACTTGAGCTCGTTTCAAAAGCCACAAGAACTACAACAAGGTGGCCCAATGAATCGCGTGTATCAGTTACCATGACGTCTCCCTCCCAATACGAGGTGTCGTACACACCAGTCAGTCGAGGCCAACACAAACTCCATGTTCAAGTCAATGACAAAGAAATCAATGGCAGCCCATCACTGTGACCGTGTACCCTGACCCAGACAACTAGGCCACCCAGTGAGGACGTGACTGGCTTGAACTATCCATATGGCATTGCGTTCAAACAGTCATCAGGAGATGATTGTCAGTGAATGTGGGGGTAATAGAGTGTCTATCTTTGACATCAGAGGACAGAAAATGCGAACATTTGGATCACGTGGTGACAGTCCAGATCAGATGAAACTCCCTGCAGGCATAGCAACTGATGATACTGACAATATTTATGTGAGCAGTAATCACAAGCTACAGAAGTTCACTAGCAGTGGTGAAACTGATCAAATGTATTGGTCGGAGGGGCAGTAAGGAGGGGAGTTTGATGATCACATGGAGTGACACTGTATGACAATCAGTGTATGTGTGTGATTGTTATAACCATCGCATCAGGTGTTTGACCTCGCTTGACTTGTCCGATCCATTGCTCACATGGCAAAGGAAGAGGTGAATTAATAACCACTTGATGTCAAATTTGACACTGCCGGGAACATGTGTAGTTAGTTTTTAATGAGGAGTGCAAGTAATGGACACCATGGCCAATTCATACGAGTATTTGGTCAGAAGGAAGGGAAACTGGGTGGGCCATCAGTCTTCATATAGCTGACAAGTATGTGTATGTGTCTGATTCAGTGGTCATTGTA